TGTGTGTGTGTGTGTGTGTGTGTGTGTGAAAGTGTGTGTGTGAGAGTGCCAGTCTGTGTGTGTGTGTGTGTGTGGTTCTGTATTATGTATGCAAATATGAGTATGAATGTATGTGTGAACACTATGTGTGCATCTATGTGAGTGTCTTTAGGTGTGTGTATTCATTTGTTGTGTGCATCTTCTTGCAATATAAGATATACTCTCTCAGGTATAATCGATAGCATTCTAAAATAAAACACAGTTGCTGGAAAAGAACAAAACTAGTGACAACAGTTGGTTGGTGTTATATAATGACCCTTCCACACAGAATGCAGGCTTCCACTGAGGTTTCGTCCAGTCTTTTCGCTTTCTTTCCATCTTCCAGTGCTTCAGTCGCTGACCCCTTCTTGAGATGACCATTACCTCGAGCACAGAACCACCTGATCGACAAATGGAACAAAAAAACCCAACAAAACAGATTATTTTTTCTGAGGATAAGCAAGATGGTCATGATATTTCCAATACCTGCAAATTGTGGAATAATGTCCATAACAATAATAATGGATTATAATAATAATAATTGCATTTATATAGCGCATATTCACTCTCAAGAGCATGCTCTATGCGCTTTACAACTATTATTACCCCAGCAGACCCTCTGAGAACACTCAGAAACATTCTTGGCTTCCACTGAAGCAAAGGGTGCAAGCTGCGGATTTCACGCGCTCAAACTGACAAGATCGTTCACTGTCTACAGCTGGGTACCCACTTCCACCTGGATGAAGTGAGGAAAATTTGTGAAAAGTGCCTTTCCCAAGGACACAACGTGGGACCCCTGACAGGATTCGAATGCACGACCTTATGGTTGCGAGTCCGAGAGCCTAACCACTGGGCCACCTACACCACTTGCATTTATATAGCGTATATCCACTTATGCAATGCTCTTTGCGCTTAACATGAAACATATTATGGAATTACAAATCAATTTTTTGTATATTATACATAACACCTCTGTTATAACTGTTAGGTAACGTATCAGGATTTAGACAGTACCTTTCTTCTTTTATTCAACAGCAGTCACTTTTCGGTTACAGTGCACTAAAGAACAAAAATAAAACAAAGAGCCCTTTCAAGGATGCGTTTCTTCACTCTTTCTAAATCTGTTTGTACCCACAAAATGAACAATATTACACAAATATGTTAATACAACTTCTTATTGCTCAGACCTTCTCATCTTTTGTTTGTAGGGATTATTCAACTTGGCATTCATCAACATCATCATTATCATCATCATCACTAGATTTAAAAGACTCCGGGGCATCTCTTGGTCTTGAGGTTACTGTGTTCGCCTCTCATCCAATAGGTCCTGGGTTCGAAACCTGACAGCCATGGGAAAATTTCCATCTCTAAAATTTTCTCTTTTTACCTCTTTTCCTGCTCTCTAGCCGTCTTCTTTTGTTAGCTTTCATCTCCACTTTCTGCCCCCCCCCCCTCCCTGCCTTTGGCCCCCTCCTCTGGGCTTCTGACTCTTTCTGCTGCTTTTCAACTGCTACTCCTTGGCTCCTTCTTACTGCTGTCTTTCAGCTGCACCCCTGATCTTAGAGTAGGTAAGATCTAATACCTAGCCTTCTCAGGTAAGGGCAAAAAATCTTGGAAGTCCCTTGTGCAAGTTGCGCACATTAAAGATCCCTTGGTGATCGAAAATGGATAAGAGTATGCTTCGACTGCCATCCGAACAAAATCAAAAATTAATTCCTACCGAAGCAAAAATGTTCAATGTGTGCCGCACGCTAGTATGACCTTATGCAGTTGCATGCGCTGTAAAACACTTACCAAAACAAAACATTAAAAAGCCTCCATTCGTCACCCCCCCTCCCTTCGGATGAAAAGGAGGAAATTTTTAAGCTCAGCATCAAGACATCCTGACTATAATCAAACAATGTCAACATCAATCTTTGAATAAGTCTTGGTGGGGAAGGTCCATAAAAGTTAACTAATTCTGTGTGTAAAACATATATGTAAATGTGGTTTCGAGTGTGTGTGTGCTGTGTGCGTGTGTATGTGTGTATGTGTGTGTGTGTGTGTGTGTATGTGTGTGTGTGTGTGTGTGTGCGTGTGTGTGTGCGTGTGTGTGTGTGTGTCTGTGTGTGTGTGTGTGTGTGTGTGTGTGTGTGTGTGTGTGTGTGTGTGTGTGTGTGTGTGTGTGTGTGTGTGTGTGCACGCCTGTGTAAACAAGATAAACCATTATTACTTGATTTAAATTGAGTGATGTCATCAAGAGGCACTATGTATGTATGTGTGTGTGTATGCGTGCATGTGTGCGTGCATGCGTGCATGCATGCAGAATGTATGTAGGTAATATATATATAATATATATATTATCTATGTATGAATGAATGTATGTTTGCCATTGTAAACCAAATTGCCCCTCTGGGATCAATAAAAGTGTAATTTATTTAACTTTTATTTTATTTATAAACATTACCTAACACTCTCTCCAGGAACTTTTTCCAGCAGCTCTGTGTACTTGCTGATGGCATCAGAGAAACGTTCTGCTTTCATGTCCTCCGCAGCAAGCACATCCAGTGCCTCCGAAGTTTTCGCCATTCTACGAGGACACAAAGAATTGTTTAAATCTTCGATATTTCGTAGTTGCAGCAAAAATCAGGGAAACACTAACAACTCACGGCATCCCCCTGACTCAACCTTTCCGGCTGGCGGCAGAGAGACGTCTCTTTCTACCTGTGACACCCAAAAGGGTATAAAAGCTGCGGATAAAAGTAAAGTAGCCGAAAATCTTATTAAAACCATGTAGAGAGGCACTATAAAAAAAGAATGCTTATGTAAGAAGAAACAAGGTAATATGTGTTTGTGAGTCTCACCAGCTATGATGTTGGTCTGATAATGTTTGAAATATAGATCTAGTGTAAATTATTGAAAAGATTAAAGTTTAAGACAACAAAAATTATGTGCATGAGTCTGGCCAGGTTTGTGTATATGACAAAAGTGGTAACCTAATAGATGAACAGTCTCCGACAAATTTGATGGATGAGGAAACTCATGTGGTCACCTAGGCTGCTGAGGATTTTGTGAATGCCATGGTAGCTGATGTCAGTTGTAAACAATTTCTTCTAGATTCTATTACGTCTTAATTTCACATCTACAGTTGAGTCTTTAAAAAAAAAGTTTTCACGCATAGCAGTTTTACAGCTGCATTACAGTTTGGTCATATATATTAAGTGTCGAAGATTAGATGTGTTACTAAAACATTAAAAAAGAGAAGAAAGAGAGACGTTTTTGTTGCTGCTGCTGCTGTTGTTGTTGTTGTTATCGATCCAGCAACAGCTGGGCTCTCGCCCTTCTGTCCAATGCCATGTAGTGATAAGTGCAGGTTTGCTGCAGTTGCAGTAATGTTCCATAGAGTGTGTTGTCGAAGTCAGGTCTCAGAGGGAGAAGGGTAGCTCTGATGTCATTTAGGGCTGTACAGTGGATAAGGTGATGATCCACAGTCTCATTATAGTCACACAAAGGACACATTGGGGGAAGTTATGGATTGATTCTGTTCAGGTGGAAGTTGAGCTGTATATATGTTCTGTTCGTAGGCGGATGATCATGATCTGTTTCTTTCTCTGTAGGTGGTTGATATTGTCTTGTTTTGCTGTGGTCATGTTTGAGTGTCCGGGAATCCACTGCATCACCAGGTTGATGCCTGCCCAGGATCTTATCAGGTGAAGGGAGGCAAACAGTGTCAGGTCTTGGTTTAGATGATGGACATTTTCTATTGCTTGCAAGACTGATTGATTTAGTGAGTCAGTGAAAATCACAATACTCTGCATTTTGTTTGGATGAATGTCAAAAACTGTGTGGAGATGGTATAGTACTGTTTCAATTAGAAAAAAAGAGAGATAGAGATCTTTTACAGAGGAATAAAGAAGGTGTCCACACTAGCACCCACCAACCACACAGTTGACTCAGTAAAGAGTCTTTAGGTAGCTGTCTGTTCTTTGACAAATCTCTCGTGACATGGTTTCTGATCAAACACTATAATGAGGTAAACACACAATAAAACAAAATATGTTATTTACCTCTGGGTAAGACAAGGTTACAAGCTCTTCAAAACAATGCCTACAGAAAAATGTTCACCTTCATACTTGGAATCCACACACACATAAACTCTGGTTAGTTCCTAATACAACAATAACACCCGTTAACAAGACTTTCTGAGCCTACAGGCCTCTAAGAACATCTAAACAAAAATCCCGTCATCTTAAAAAAGCAAACAAACGTTTCACTTACTGTACAACGGCGACCACACAACAGTCAAATAAAAAGACAAGATTGTTCAAAGCAAAGGGCAAAAGCCAGCAGCAACTTTCAGAACCCCTTTCTTCTTGCACACAGCACACCGAGAGGCAAGTCAGTGCCAGGCTAGCCCCCTCCTAGCCTCACTTTGAGCCTGCTCACGCACGATACCGCACCTGTACCTGGATTCTCTCCTCACACTCACGCAGGTTCCAGCGAAGGTCGGGAGCACAGTAGACGGGAATGCGTTGTATAGAACGTGTAGTGTAGTGTTCTACTTGGGGAGAGGTAGAGGGGAGGG